TATATTTAATTAATTAAATATATTATGTCACAAATTAACGATTTAACTAGTCACATATTATATTTCGATTACAAATCAGAAATTTTATATGTCAAAAATTATTTTATTTGTCACAATTTAGAAATTTTATAAGAAACAATTTGTTCATCGATTACAAATCAAAAATTTATACGTCAAAATTTATTTATCGGTCACAAATCACAAATACTACAAGTCAACTTAGTACACAGTCACAAATTGTCAAATTATCGGTCACAAACACAAAAAAAGTTTGGTCACACATTATTTTTTTGTCACAATTTATCTTTTTCATTGATCACATTGTTTATTGGTTACAGATTAACCAATTTAATAGTCATAATCAACCAAATATTTTATGACAACAACTAACACTTGTGAGCATTATCGCACCACTCCCTCAAGCAGCACCACCGCCACCTTCGCCACAAGAACCACCGCCACCACCTCCACCTCCCGACAACAACTGCAACATCACCACCTCAAACAAATCAACCCATCGCAGAAAAATACCACCACATCGTCACACTGTTCCACCACCACCTCGATAGCCCCATTGCTGCCACCAACAAAACCACATGCACTATTCATCTACAACCACGGTAACAACCCTCGTCCCTGGGCAACACCAATGCTATAGCGTCCCGTCATCGCCACCAACACCACTTGCACCACAACCGTTAGCGACCACTACCTCACCACCATCAATAGTCACCACCCTACCAATAAAAACATCAAGTCCACCAGCACCTCTTCTTGTGACCACAACCACCAGTTTTACCAAACAATCTCCAATCGTCGTCGCCACCAAATTGCATGATACCACCGCTCACATCAATAATTCACCACAACATCCTCAGATTAGAAAGATAAAGAAAAAAACCCCAAACCCCCTCCCTACCCCTGCACTAGCGGCGCCGAAGGACTGCAACATTGCGACGCTACGTTGATGGACTACAAAAATCATTTGTCGCCTGAGTGAGTGAGCGTTGCCGACTAGGAATTCGAAGAACCCAAATGGAGATCGAAGAGCGATGGAGCCAACGAGTGAGGTTGCTTCAGAGAAGTAGAGAGAAAAGATAAACAGAATCGTCGTCGATGAGGTTGCTTCAGAGCGTCGTCACCGTTATGAACGCTGCCAACGGTGACGATGGAACCGGTGGTGCCTGTGATAGAGAGATGAGAGAATATAGAGAGAGAAGGAAGAGGGGAGAGAGAGAAGAGGGAGATGAAAATGTAAGGGTTTGTATTATATTAGTACCTGATTTGTGAATAATGAAACTTCAACCCTGAATTTTGAATTGTTATTTTCAAATGCTTGGAATTATGTAATTTTCCCTAATTTTATGGCCTAAATGTCCGCAGTCTGCCCCAATTAGCGTTAACACCAACAAGCCAGTCCACTCTATTCACGGTAGTGTATTCATCAGGCCCAGAAATAGATGATCCATTCGAAGCCCCATCCTTAAGCGCCCAATTGCATCCTTTTTTGACTTTTACTTAAATGGTCTAGTCAAAAAATGCGCTCCAATTTGGGTCAAACAGTTGGCGCCCCCTATTGTTGTGGCAGCCCCCCCTCCAACTGGCGCCCCTGTTTTTTGTCTCGGTCATTGAGCCGAGACATAAAGCAAGTTCAGATCTAGATTCTACAATTGAGGAAAAATGGAGAAGAAGAAGCTGATAATGGTTTTAGCGACGCTTCTGCTCGTATTTTCAACAAATATGGAGGGCGTTGAATCCCAAGGCGTCGACTGCTACGATTCCTGTTCAATGAGCTGCATTAATACTGACAGTAATTTCTTTCTTTCTTCCTTTTTTTTTTTTTTTTGTTGGTGGGAGATTGTAGAAAGTATTTTTCTTGTGTTAGAGATTTTTCAACGGGAAAGTGAAGTAAGTTTTCTTTTTTCTTTTTTGGCTGCTGTTTACTATATAATTATTTTCATTTTTCTGTATAATTTAGTCAGGCTCATGCAGCGATGCGACCGCAAGTGCCAGATAAGGTGCAGTCCAGGTATCTTACCAAATTAAGTCGAGTTTTCTTTTTCTGCTTTAGAATCATTATGTGCTGT